CCATCCACTGAGCCAAACCAGTCAGGGCTTAAAAAGAGTTCTTAGTAGAGAAACAGTAAGACGTACTTATACCAAACATAGTACACAACAAACAACTTTATGACTCAGTTGTACAATCTAAAAGTTAAAGGTCCCAGGAGTGCCGTCCTGAACTTGGAATGTATAACCTTCAGAGGTAGTTTCTGGCACAACATTTTGATCTTCCTCTTCCTCTGCAGAAAAATAGTTCCCAATCAAGTTTAGTGACGCTTTGTACACAGACTCATTTTCATGGTTTTGTAGAGCTTCAATCTTGTCCAAACCTCCACATTCTTCAATCATTATACGTAGTTTCTCAGTTTCACCTAGTCCCTCAGCAGCCTGAAATATATTTGAAATGGCCTCCAGAATAGCCAGAATAATGTTGGTATCTTTCGCAGTTAAGAGGTTCGTCAGTGGTTCTATTATGCCACAATGAACGAGGTATACAATTTGTTCAACTGTTCCACCATGTGTATAGTTGGCCACAGCCCAGACAGCTTCCTTTTGTGTCTTAAAGTTTGCCTTAGCAAGAACACCAATGAGGAATGGGACTAATCCATGATCCACAACTTGCTGTATCTGGTCCTGGCGGCCAGCTGTGATGTTTGACATTGTCCATGTAGCTTCCTTCTGAATATTAGTTTTGGAGTTCGTTAGTAGGCTGGGAAAGATGGCAAGTGCTCCTGCATCTATTACAACCTGCATCTGTTCATCTGTCCCAGCGACAATATTTCCTATGGCTCTTAGCGCAGGAGTCACAATGGGCGATTCAGTAGCTCCTAGGAGCTTCACAAGTTGGGGCACAACTCCTGTTTTCACAACCATTTCAATCCGTACATTTGGACCCTGAGTGAGGTAGGAAATGGCCCAGCAGATATTTGCTAATACTTTTGGATCATCATGATGCAGGAGACGAACTAAAGTAGGAAGAATCTTCTCAACAGCATCTAATGGGGGTACAGGATTCTTGTTGCGACAGAGGTTTAAAAGTGTCCAGGTCAGATTACGTAAGTGACCACATGCTAAAGATGACATATCAGGAACCGCAAGAAGAGCCAACAGTGGGTCAACCGCACCATACTGGATAACCAAGTCTCGGAAAACTGGACCATCACCTGCAATATTTCCTAGAGCCCATACGGCTTGTTCACGGATGTGAGCGTGGGGAGATGCCAACAGAGAAATGAATGCTGGAATAGCACCTCCATCCACTACAGCCTTGGTCTGTTCCGAAGTCCCGGAAGCAATGTTGGTGAGGGCCCAAGCAGATTCAAACTGGATGGGACTACAATCAGCTCTGCCCAAGAAGGACACAAAATTTGGGATCAAACCAGCCCGGATTATGTTGTCTAGGGGTGGCTGTTTTCCTCTAGAAAGCAGTTTCCTTGCAGCCTGAGTAGCTTGGAACTGGCTTCCCAAATTGTTGCTATTGATGCCTTGGACAATGTCCTCCACAGACCAATTTGCAGTGCCCTGGTCGTTGCCGTGTTCCTGCAGTGGAGACGTAGCATCATCGGGAAAGGAGCTCACATTTCTCCTTTTCAGCATCTGGTCATCCTTCTTAGCTTTCCTCAGCTCCACATGAACTTCTATTCGGCGCCGCCTCATTTCTGTACTGTCTTTCCCCTTGTTCTTGAATCTGTTAAGGCGGGCAGCTGGCAAATGAGCATTCTCCTTGGTGGACATGGTTATGAGGCAAAGGGAGAAGCTCCACGCAGCAACTCAGGCTTTCACAGGAGACCCGTGAGCGGAGGACGGGCTGCGGTTTGGTAGCTCCGAGAACGTCTACAGTGGCTCAGCTCTCAGACGGTGTGTTGGGGTCCAACCCCAGCAGGTCCAGGGGTTCCCAAAGGTGTGGACGGAGTCGGCGAAGAAGGAAGGACACGGAGGCAGTGTTCAGTTGATCAGCAGCCTAGCCAGGATCTCCAGCCAAGTTCTAGCCAGGATCTCCAGCCAACTTCTGTCCAGGATCTCCAGCCAGGTTCTGTGCTTTATTGTCTTGTTACATCTGTATTTATACCAGCTAATTTTAATCCTATCAATTTCTATTCCAAAGGTTAGGGCGTTTCTTATCTCCATTCCAGGGAGTAAAGATTATGTAGCTTAAGGGTGATTGTTCTTAGTTAAAGTGATTAACTACCCGCCTGGCACTTAGTTAAGGGGTTTTATCCCCTCCCTAACTTCAGGGGAAAATCCCCACCTGGGGAAACAACCTTTCTCGGAGGGATGACCTTGGTTAAAACACATCGCGCCAAGAAGGTGAGCAAACATATAAAGAACAGTATGCCATATATGCCAGATCCCTTGAAACATATGCTGTGCAGATGTTTCTTCCCTGCAGCTACTGTGTCAAGCAGCAAGGATGGACCGGCTTTGGGCAGTGTATCGTTTCTCTCCCTCTACCAGAATGTGAGCTTAATGTCTCCTTGGCTTGGCTGTAATCTAAAGCAGTGCCTGGCTCATAAAAGGTGTGCAATAACTACTTGCTGAATATAGAGCCAAACAGATCCCCCACTCAAGCATGCAGCTTGGTAGAATGGGATTCAGGTGACCTTAACATTCTCTGGGACCCGTCCCACTGTCTTCCATCTATACATATGGGTCCCAGCAGCCAAGTTTGCTTTGTTTGACCTTGCTTTCCTGGTCTTAACTGATGGTACCACAGCAGACATGTGACCTAAGCTCGGCTGTCCATTATTTTCTTTTCTGGAACTTAATTTTGCCTTGTAAGAATAAAGGGACTTTGAGAAAACAACCTCTGGACTCATTCACAGATCCAATGGCAAGGAGAGAGAATATAAATAAAATTACAGAAGTCACTGTAGAAGACACTTCAGAAAAGCACAAAGGAGGAAATAAAACCACCCGTTTATCAGAGTTTCTAATAAAGGAAAATAGGAAACAACCGACATATCCAAAAATAAATGGATAAATCAACTATGGCGCATTGATACCAGGCAATGCTGTCATTGAAAGACCTATAAAACACATTGCCAAATTAGTGAAACGAGGCACACCAATCAGAACGAATATATGCACCCCTATGTTCCTAGCAGCGTTATTTACAATAGCCAAGATCTGGAAACAGCCCAAGTGCCCAAAAAACTAAGTGGATTAAAAAACTGTGCTACATTTACACCATGGAATACCACATGGTGTAAAAAAGAAGGACTTCTCTCTTACCCTTTGTGACAGCAATAGTGGACCTGGAGATTATTATGCAAAGCGAAATAAGCCAGTCAGAGAAAGATAAATACCATGTGGTTTCACTAATATGTGGAATCTAATGAACAAAATAAACTGACAAACAAAATGGAACCAGAAGCATGGATACATGGAACAGACTTTCGGGAGCCAGATGGGAGGTGGGTGGGGTGATTGGATAAAGAAGTTGAAAGGATTAGCTGAAGAACATACATGCAAATCCCATAGATACCTGCACTCCGCTGCCACAGGTAACTGAAGCTTTTTCGTGCATGTCAGGCACCAGACTTTTGTGTCTCCCAACCACAGGAACCACATTTCAGGCTCCTCAGAATGGTCCTAGGACTTGGGGAAAGGAGGTAGCAATTGCTTCAAGCTACTCACAAGCAGAGCATCTCTCAAAAAAAAAAAAAGAAAGAAAGAAAGAAAGAAAGAAAGAAAGAAAGAAAGAAAGAAAGAAAGAAAGAAAGAAAAAGAAAAGTCTCATCCATCCTCTCCTTCTAATCCTTTTTCATATCCTCAATCTGACTGAGGAGTACAAGGGTAGGGGATCTGTTTTGCAACCATTTCCTGCAGTGTATTCTGCACAAGTGGATCTGGCTTTGAAATTTACCACCTTTTAAAGGTCCGTGTTTCAATACTGAAATTTTAATGTTAGCATCCTTTTACACATATGCGCATAACTTTGTTTTGTATGCTTTTGTTTTTGTGCAAATTAATTTTGTGCAAATTAATAAAATTAATTTAAAATGGAGTTGAGAGCTCAGAAGGGGGAGTCCTTACTCTATGTCAATTATAGACCCTCAACAGGAAGAAATAAATGCACCTACCTAGCAGAATGGAAGATTTCTTCCCTTTCCCGCAACTCAGCCAATTAGAAACCGTCACCACCCTGAAAACTTTTGCTTTCCTCCAATAGACTTTCATTTAAAACAGCCTCTTCCAATGTCCTCCTTTTTCTCTATAAAATAACAGTCCTCTCCTTTGTTGAACTTGCTTATGGTTTTTTGCTACAGTTTGCTTATCCTCTGCTATTCCCAAATTAACCCATTTTGCTGATAAAATCACTGGCTGTTTTATTTTTATTAAAGTCATTTGTTTACGTAGTGATTATTTTATACCTATTTTTGCAACTTCCATTTTTTTTATTTAAACTTGTATTTTAGAGACGCTTATCAGTAAGTGCATATGGTTTCATGTATTTATTACCCTCTTGTAATTAGAGACGATCACATGGCCCTAACTTTACTCTGGAAGCAAGCAAAAATAAACGAACGTTTCCATCCAGCTAAACTTCACCTCAAGATTTGTTTAGATTGATGGATATAGTTTTTATTTTTTTTAACAGCATTGAATGGTTTTTCATTAATTAATTAATTAATTAAACTGAACCCACCGCCTCCTATTGCTAGAGATTTGTTATTGTTCTTGATTCAGGAGGAAATAGAGTTTATAACTTATCTCATACAGCCTGAACTCCCTCCCCTCTTTCTATTTTCTCCCGTTAAGATCACTTTTCCGGCCAACGAGAGATCCGCAGCCGCCTTTGTGCATTCCTGCCCTCCCACCCCAAAAGCTTCTAGGCAGGCGCACTGCTCCCCAAAGGCATCGTGCTTGCCGCCGTGTGCACCTCCAAGCGCTAGAGGGCAATGCAACCCCAGGCTGTGCGTGGGCTGTCAAAAAAGCCGCTCCCGACGCGCACGTCGTTACGTATGCGTTGGGGGCGGAGCCTCCCCGTGCGCGGCGACTGGAGGCGGTGCTGGCGGCAGCTAGAGGCTTCATAGTGCGGCTCGCGGGCTGGGGGCAGGAACTTCGGGGGCGGCGGTGGAGCCGGCGGGGGACAACGACGACCGCAGGAGCGAGCCCTCGGCTTGTCGCTCGCCATGCCGACCGTGGAGGAGCTCTACCGCAACTATGGCATCCTGGCCGATGCCACGGAGCAAGTGGGCCAGGTAGGTCCCCGAGCGGCCTGCAGGGCCCTGCGCTCCGCGGCCTTTCGGGAGCGCTCCCCGGGCCGGGCCGGGGCGGGAGGGACCGCGCTGCGCCGTCCCGCGAGCGCCCGGCCCCGCCGGCTGTTGGGTCGCGGTGGGCCCGGGTCTGGGAGTGTGGAGCCCGGCGTCCCCGGGGCGAGCGCGGCCCCCCTCCGCCTCCCTGGGGCAGCCTCTCCTCCCAGTGGCGCTTTCGAACTCGGCCTCCCGGTAGTTCTCCTCCCGAGCCCCAGTCCTCCTCCTCCTCCTTCCCGGTGGAGTTCAGTCCCTCCGAGGACGAGAGGGAGAGTTCAGACATGTCTCTCTTGAGGTCACAACCTGCTCTTCATTTACGAGACAGAAGTTTGTGGGGGGCAGAAAAGAAAGAAAATGGGCCTTTCGCCCGGACTTGAGTGAGGGCTCGGGATTTCATTTATTCAGGACCTATCACCCATCGGGACGCTGTGCCGGGCGCTGCAGGTACAAGATGGACTGACCGGCGCTCTGCCGGGATGTATTCTTAAAGAGGGAGGCTGGCGATGCATCAATAAGGACGATAGGTTTTATTTAACTTTTTAGTGAAAAGTGTTGTAAAATACGGCAGGGCCGTGCGGGGGGAAGGAGCGTGCAGCGTTATAAGTAGCGGTGTCGGCAGCAGGTCGGTCCGCGGCGTGTGCCCCGACGCGCTTGGAGGAGTGTGGTGTCCGCACCAGCCGGGGCCTCTTTGTGAGTTTCCCAGCCCCGGGGACCGGGACGTTGAGGAGTTGCTCACTGGGCGTGCGCCTGTGTTTTGTTGGGAAAAGAACCGGGTTCTCCCGGAGGGTAACCTTGACTTGTTTTTGTCCGAAATCCCATGCCGTCTGTGTTTGCAGTGCTTAGAACTTCATGGGATTCTCCTGCTGGAAGGAGGAAGTGGACGATCCTAGAGCTACTGGCGTGAGCTAGGCTGTGGTACTGCCCCCTCCCGGTCCCGTCTCTGGGCATGTGTCATTTCTGAGCCGAAGGCGGGGAAATGTTGGAACCTTGTTTTAGCTTAATCTAGAATTGTAAATATACAGTTCCAAGTATCGTGATTTTCCTTCCCTACATACTTCCCGTTTCAGTAGGGAATTTTTTAAAAAATATATATTTTATTGATTTTTTTTACAGAGAGGAAGAGAGAGGGGAGAGGGATAGAGAGTTAGGAACATCGATGAGAAACATGGATCAGCTGCCTCCTGCACACTCCCTACTGGGGATGTGCCCGCAACCAAGGTACATGCCCTTGACCGGAATCGAACCTGGGACCCTTCAGTCTGCAGGCCGATGCTCTATCCACTGAGCCAAACCGGTTAGGGCTCAGTAGGGAATTTTGACGTCACTAATAAGAAATATAAGCTGCCTGTTGTAGATGTATGTAAGGTGTGGGTTATAGATCGGACTGTGCATGAGAAATTGTCTGCCCATTAAGACAAGGTGGGAAAAACTGTGGTCAGTCATGGTTTGATTTTGTTGTTCCTAGAAAGAGGTAGTAGTGAAGATATTCTCATTCATTGTGGCTGAGTTGCGGAAGATTATAGTAAACTAGAGGCCCGATGCATGACATTCATGCAAGAGTAAGCCTTCCTCCCCCTCGCCTGCCGGACCCGGGCTTCCCTTGCAGCCCCGGCTTTTTTCAGAAGGTCGTCCGGAAGGACGTCCAGTCTAATAAGCATATTATGCTTTTATTATTATAGATGTTCTCCCTAAAATTGTCCATCAGCAGAGGGAATGGGTAGAAGCTACAACAGTGATTCTCAGTCAGTTACAGACGTTTCGCTCCCAAAGAGGTGGATCAGGAATCTTGTAGGGAAACTTTGAAACCCTCTACATAGTGATGTCCCATTTCTCCACCTTCATTTTTTTAGTTAAAATTTTGCAATGTTGATTATTGCAGGTGTCCCCCTTCCCCTCCCCTTGCCCACCTCCACCCACCCCTACCTCCCTATCCCTTGGTCTTCATCCCACTATTGCCCGTGTCCATGTTATTTGTCTATATATTCTTCAGCTAATCCCTTCACCTTCTTTATCCAATCTCACCGCCACTCACCTCTCCTCTGGCTCCCGATTCCATTTTGTTTGTCAGTTTATTTTGTTGATTAGATTCCACACATTAGTGAGATCATAAGGTATTTGTCTTTCTCTGACTGGCTTATTTCACTTAGCATAATACTCTCCAGATCAGTGATGGCGAACCTATGACACGCGTGCCAGAGGTGACACATGAACTCATTTTTTTGGTTGATTTTTCGTTGTTAAATGGCATTTAAATATATAAAATAAATATCAAAAATATAAGTCTTTGTTTTACTATGGTTGCAAATATCAAAAAATTTCTATATGTGACACGGCACCAGAGTTAAGTTAGGGTTTTTCAAAATGCTGACACGCCGAGCTCAAAAGGTTCGCCATCACTGCTCCAGATCCATTCATGCTATGGCAAAGTTTCAGAGTTCCTTCTTTTTTTACAGCCGTGTAGTAGTCATGGTATAAATGTACTGCAGCTTTTTTATCCACTCACCTATGATGGCACTGATGGGACTTTTTCCAGATGTTGGCTATTCCCACCCTTTTGCTGGAGTAGAAAAAACGGTTGACAGCCACCTATTTACAGTGTACGATAGGGCAAGTGGAAGCCAAACTTGAATTTATCTATGCAGTATTATGGATAATTGAGAATTGCTTGCATTCCCCTCATACGTCATCTTCAGTTATAAATACTACCAGATTAGATTGAGAGATCTCCCTCAAGAGGTCAAAAGTGTCTTTCTCAAAGCGCTTAGGAGCCATAAGTTTGTGAAAAAGCAGAAAAGGCACCTTTCCTGCTGACTTCTCTGAGGGCCCGTGATTTTATATATTCAGTACATTTTTTGAGTGCCTGCCATGTAGCAGACACTGCTGGGCGGTAAGATTTTAGCACAGTTCCCTGTAGATGATGGGAGATCAGTACCTTCATGACACTAATGACAGCTGTCAAGCAACTACTTAAGACAAAAAGACCTCTGCATAATGAAGTGAATTCTGAGGGACCTAAAGCTGAACTAAACCATAATGCTTACAAATTCTCTCTTGTGTAATACTTCATCTCTTTTAGAAAAAAAATATCTAAAACTGTTCAGCAAAAAAGGATGGTGGGTTTTAGGATTCTGCTTGTGAATTTTAACTAACAAAAGCAAGAGCCAACTTAATGGAAGAGACATTGCTTGCTTTTTTTTTTTAAGGAGAGAAAGTTTTCATTCTTAGTGTTGCAAAGCCTAATTTTCATGTTAACTTAGATTTACAGTCAAGATTTCAGTTTCCTGATAGATACCTATCTGGACACTTCTTAGACCAGATAGGTATCTATTTGAGGTTCTTAGTCCAGACCTTCCTTCTAATGTTGATTTTCACCCTTTGACAAAGAGTTGAGTACCACAGTTACTCACGCTGCTGCCATGAGGGAGTGCCCTTGGCACTACTGTCAATACTAAATAGTTCTCTGAGGTTTTGTCAGCTAATTTTCCTCAAGCAGATCATATTTTTCTCTTTTTTAACCTCCTTGGCACTATGTATTCATTTATAGAACTTCAGATTTATATTTTATTTCATATGAGGACTTTTGTTAGTTTCTTGCTAAATTGTAAAAACTCTTGGAGTTAAGGATTACATCCTTTAACAGTTGTCCCTTGAATAAAACGGGTTTGAGCTGTGGCAGTCCGCTCAGACCATGCACATGTATTTTCTGATAAGCAAACTGTGATTGAGAAATTGTAAATGAAGCATTATTTAATACCTCAGAACCTTCCAGCCCCTCTGTCACCTTTCCTCGTGTAGCTCGTGTGTTCTGCCTACTTACTCAGCCTTCCTTTCCCCGTTCTGCATCTGGCTCCTTCAGTTCTCCTTCCCCTGCTGATGGTTCCTTTACCTCCCGGACCCCTTTCCACTGTGCTCTGCCCAGGGCTTCCGACCAGCCATCATAGAGCTGTGGCCCATCATTATTTTAAATGGTGCTTCAAATGATTATGAATTTATTTAATGGTAAAGTGTAAATACTTAATTTGATGTAGTCAATTTTTTTTAAAGTTTAAAAGACAAAACAAAATACAAACACCTGTTAAGGGACTGTGGCACTTAGGGTTTTCTGGGGCGGGTTTTCTAAGATTAGATCCTTACACAGGAGTACAGTGGCTTTTCAGGGTGGAAGAGTATAAACTTTACTAACTTATATTTCATGAAATAGCATTATTTTGGTATCTTTTTTTATGGAATGTATGTTTTTTTAGAACTGATTTTTAGAATGTGTTTTTTAAGTAGGTTGGCAGTATATGACCTAACCTTTCGATACATAGAACACTTTATTTTTGATTATTTAATAAGGGAATGTCCTTAATTGAGATTCTACTGTACCTCAGTAACTTTGCATCCTGCTTTATTTAACTAAATTTTTGGTAGTTCTGTAATTCATTAGATATTTATTAGTTATTCCCCTCTTGATGGCCTGAAGTATACTCACATATCTAAAGCACTTAGCGAGCCCTAACTGGTTTGGCTCAGTGGATAGAGCGTCAGCCTGTGGACTCGAGGGTCCCAGGTTTGATTCCGGACAAGGGCATGTACCTTGGTTGCAGGAGGCAGCTGATGGATGTTTCTTTCTCATCGATGTTTCTAACTCTATCCCTTTCCTCTCTGAAAAATCAATAAAATATATTTTTTAAAAAATAATAAATAAAGCACTTAGCGAATTGCCTTATACAGAGTAAACACTATCCTGTTTACACATTTGGTATCATTATTATAATGTTTAAGGGTTAAGGTTTTCTAGTAATTAAAAGTTTTATCCAGATGTCCAAACAGGAGATGTAGCTATAGTCTCCATATTTATTACTGTTCTTGCCAGGTTGATCATTGTCATTTATTGAAAGGACTGTTTTTGGAGGCAGGGGTATAGGAGGATTCAGAACTAGTTGACATGAGTATCTGAAGGAGAGCACTTCTGAATTTTTTTTTTTTTAAGGAAACATGAGTTTTGAATGCATTATTCTAATAAAAAGCTAAATAAGTGACATTTGAATCTTTCTTAATCCAAAATTGGCAGGCTATATAGAATGAATTATCATTTTCATATTCTAAAATATGAGGCAAAGTAAAGCTTCCTAACCTTTGTCGTATTGCTTAATTTCAGGAATGTATCCTCTTCACCTGCTTTAAAGTGCTATTTGGAAACAAATATATTTAAATACATGTAACAATTCTTTGAGGATTCTACCACATTTATTACAAATTTTTTTTATTTTTTTTTTTAAATCACCACAAAAATATTTATACTCAAGTAGCATCTACATAATCGCAGATTTAAAAAATGCTCAATAGTACAGCCCTGCTTGCAACACTAACATGTCATCTGGTCTGAGCAGCCAGTGGCACAGGTATCCTGAGTGTATCGAGCAGCTCTCATTACAATTTTTAAAGCATGATACAGTCATGAGGCTGGGGTCAGTAATCACTAGAATGAAGAAGTGTTGGTACATCAACAAGCTTAGTTGCTTTTCCCACTAAAATTAGAGTCATCCTTCTCTCTTTCCCTACTCACAAATAACTCGTGGGCGGCGGGCAGGGAACAGATGGAAGGAAGGTAGGTGTCCAATTTAAGCAGTAACACTCCAAAACAAGCCCTATTTCTAAGCTTAGTCTTTGTAAAATTTTACTAATTTAGGTTCAAACAAGTTTGTTTAGCTTTCATCATTCAGCATTGTGTTTCTTTTCTGTGTTATTCTTTCAGCATAAAGATGCCTATCAAGTGATATTGGATGGTGTGAAAGGTGGTACCAAGGAAAAAAGATTAGCAGCTCAGTTTATTCCAAAATTCTTTAAGCATTTTCCAGAATTGGCTGATTCTGCTATCAATGCACAGTTAGACCTCTGTGAGGATGAAGATGTATCAGTAAGTGTATGATTGATGCTTTTCAATAAGTTTTCAGATGTTGCCATTTCCAGACATTGTATGTGCATAGTTCATATAATTAAGTACCAATCATCTCAGTGCCCAATAAAATACTGCAATATGGTTTGGCACAATGTCATACCATTTCTCTACATTTGAGAAAATATTTTGCTCTTTCACCACCCTTCAACTGTGAAAAATGCATAGAATTACAAGATACTTTGTTTTGCTTATTCGTTATTCATGGTTAAAAATGGGTTGTGGCCATTATTTTATAACTCATTATACATTGTGCATATGAAATGAGACTAATGTTAGTTTTCAATCAATTTATGCTTACCTTAGATATTTAAAGTTTTAGTAGTATTACATCATAAAACAGTTTCAACAACCCTAAATATTTTTCATAGCAGGAAAATATTTGGTATGTGTAATAATTGTATAGGATAACTAGAATAAGAAGAATTAGCCTTTAGCATTTCTGGCTGCTGATACAGGTTTCTGAGAATTTTCAGCTATTATTCATGACTTTCAAATGAAATTTGTGAATTAACAACATTTCATGCAGAATTTGCTAGCTGTAACTCCCATACATTTTTATGTTAAACTAAATAAGCCAAGACTACATATTTGGAGTTAAATACATAAAATATTCACAAATGTGTATTAAGTAGTCAATACTGAAAATTGGAAAGTAAATAGTTACTAGATATGACATTGCCACTGTAGGCTTTCTTAAGGGATACATATTATGTGCCCTAAAAAAAACAACAACAAAAACAATAGTTGTGTATAATCAATATGTAAACCATCGTTTATAATCTCAAATCTGTCTACTCCAATCAGATAATCATATTTAATGTCTCTTCCCACCACATTTTATTTTAGTTATTCTGTGAAGCTTGAATGCTAAATTGAAGCAAATTATTTCTGAAACTGCTAGAATTTTCATGTTTTATATTTTTGTGATTCATCTGCCCCCTAATTAATGGTTTTTCTGTGGTTTTAGTTTTTTTTAAAGATTGGGTTTGTTGTTTTTATTGATGATAGTATTTGGTTAAATTTTTGTTTGAAATTATATCCAGATTCGACGGCAAGCAATTAAAGAGCTTCCTCAATTTGCCACTGGAGAAAATCTTCCCCGAGTGGCAGATATTCTAACCCAACTTTTGCAAACAGGTAAGGAATATTAACATTATCCTTTTAATGAATATGACTTCTCCAGGCTAAAAGGGGTCAATGGGTGGGGAGGAGAATATAGGTAATACTTTCAACAATAAAGATTTAAGACAAAGATAAATAAATTCATTTAAATAATAGTATTTAAATCTGCACTTTAAATATATGTAACTTCTCTCTGAAATGACTCTGTTTTTAGCTTTAAAAAAAATTCTCTTATATTTAATAGTTTGAAACTTAATGACTTGTGATTATCCAATTCCTAGTGTTGTTTTGTGTTGAATTCTGTTTATAAAGGCAAAATTACTAGATTCTTTGGGAGATTTTGATGCATCATGATCTCCTCCCCTCTAATTTCCTATAGTTTCATAATTGGACCATCCTATATAATAAAAGCCAAATATGCTAAGTGTCCGGTTGTCCAGTCATCCGTTTAACCAATCAAAGCATAGTATGCTAATGATATGCTAAGGCTGCTCAACTGCTCATTATAATGTGCACTGACCACCAGGGGGCAGAGGCTCCGACTGGTAGGTTAGCTTGCTGCTGGGGTCCAGCCGATTGGGACTGAGCCAGACAGGCCAGATACACCTGGAGCCTTCCCGTGGAGCCCCACCCAGCTGGCTAACCTCCCATGTCCCTCCCCGGCCCCAATTGTGCACCAGTGGGGTCCCTCGGCCTGGCCTGCACCCTCTCACAATCCAGGACACCTTGGGGAATGTCGGAGAGCGGTTTCGGCCTGATCCCACAGGCCAGGCCAAGGGAACCCACTGGTGCACAAATTCATGCACCAGGCCTCTAGTCTTAATATAAAACCTTTCCAGGCATGCTATATCAGGTTCTCTGCCTTTTTAAGGAAGATGTATTTTCTCAGTACTTGAGAGAATTACTTAAATTACGTGTCTCAATGTAATCCATGAGAATCTATGTTGAATCTTAAATTTCAAAATGAAGCAGATGATATTTTTCATTTATTTTATGCGTTGTACCACTTTTTCTCTTTGTAGATGACTCTGCAGAATTTAACTTAGTGAACAATGCCCTATTAAGTATATTTAAGATGGATGCAAAAGGTAAGGCCACTTCTTGTTCTGAATTGTTCTTCTTAGTCTGATGTCTTAAAAATTGGGGAGTTTGGCACAACTCATAAAAGATAAATTCTGGAATTCACCCACATGTCTATTTCATAAAAATATTAAGTGTTCTTTTTTAAAAAGCTATTTAGTTCAAGAGGTTTATGAGTTGAAAACCCAGCAGAAATAATTGCAAAAGCAGTTCCAAAATGCCTGCGTTTTATTTATTATTAGTAATGATAACCCCAGCTGGTGTGGCTCAGAGGTTGAGTGTCGACCTATGAACCAGGAGGTCAGGGTATATGCCTGGGTTGCGGGCTCATTTCCCCAGTAGGGGGTGTGCAGGAGGCAGCCAATCAATGATTCTCTCTTATCATTGATGTTTCTCTCTCTCTCCCTCTCCCTTCCTCTCCGAAATCAATATAAATACGTATTTTTTTAAAAAGGGTAAGTCATGCTCAGTCATGCTCAGTCTAACTCTGAATCCATGAAGAAAGCATATGATCACTCTTACAGTTGAAGCTTCATATTAATTTAACCAGTATCAATGATACTCAGGATGTTTATTAACTCACTTGAGAAGAAATACTATAAACTGAGTTATATTTAAAAACTTCATTATGATATAGAATTAACTTGCTACACAAAACTATTTTGTTTTGCAGGGACTTTAGGTGGCTTATTCAGCCAAATCCTTCAAGGAGAAGACATTGTTAGAGAACGAGCAATCAAATTCCTTTCTACAAAACTTAAGACTTTACCAGATGAAGTCTTAACAAAGGAAGTAGAGGAACTTATACTAACTGAATCCAAAAAGGTAAGTTTCAGTCATCATTTAAATAGAACTTCTCTAAAGCAAAAGCATGTATTTGAACTTAGCAGTATTCATCAATGTATATAAAATGTCATATCCCATTAGAACTGTAGAATTTCAAGCTTTTCTTACATTGTATTTTGCACTTTGCTTGCTTGTAATGATGAATGTGTGTTAATTTAAAGGGATGTGATCACATTTAAATCCTTTGTGATTGCTAACCTCAAAATTTATGCATTTTCCAGGAATCTACAGATCAACTCCTTCAGGAAATTTTACCTAATTCCCACCCGTCTTAGGATAATCTCTCAGTATTTTGGATAGTTTCAAAATAAAAATGAAATCACATTGAAATGACCTATTTTTTTCGTCCTACCCCATGACTCTATAAGCTCTTCAAGAGTGTGCCCCCAGATCTAGCATAAGTATAGAAGCTGAGATTATCAAGATGTGTCACAAGTAATTTTCACTTATGAAGTGTAAACGTTTGGGAATATTTTACTTTTTTATATGTTTAGGAAAATTCCAAAATTTTCCTGATATTATTGTTCACTTGCTTACTAATAAGATTTCGTCAGAGAGAAAGGAGCAGTTATTCAGCTGGAAATGTCAGCATATTTTATTTATGCTCCAACTAATAATCTGGTGGAATACGTCTTCTATTTTGTATGCAATTACCACATTAGCGTGAATGAGGCTGCTTTTATATATAGGAAACTGCATCTGATTTACTACATAATTTCTCAATCTTTATTTTGCTGTCACTCCCAAAAGAGCCTTTTTAGACTTATTTTTTTCCTTAGCTACCCTTTTATGAATTTTTAGTGCCACAGATATACTCTATATCTTTTTATTTACTGTATGCACATTTGTGCTTTAGACATAAAAAAGTTTTCCAAGAACCAAATTTGCCGCCTTGGAGACAACATTGTGCCCCATCTATAATAATAAAAGTGTAATATGCTAATTAGACTGGACATCCTTCCAGACCACCTTCTGGACAAAGCTGGGGCTTCGAGGGAAGCCCAGGTGCCTGCCTGCGGCCAGTCCCGGGTGCCAGAGGGAAGCCCTGGAAGCCGGTGCAGGCAGCCGAGGGAAGGAAGGCATACTCTTGCACAAATTTTGTGCATCGGGCCTCTAGTATGGATAATAATGTTCTACTCTGAAGTTAAATTGACTGAAGCTAGAAGTTATACTCTCATCAGTATTTCAGAAACATTAAGAGCAAACTGACTTTAGTAACTGAAGTAAATGTTATACTGCTTTAATATTGATCTTTCCCATTCAAGTGGTAAAGACACTTATTTTGAATTATTATCTCTTTCCAGGTCCTAGAAGATGTGACTGGTGAAGAATTTGTCCTGTTCATGAAGATACTGTCTGGGTTAAAGAGCTTACAGACAGTGAGTGGAAGACAGCAACTTGTAGAGTTGGTGGCTGAACAGGCTGACCTAGAACAAACCTTCAACCCGTCAGATCCCGACTGTGTGGACAGGCTCTTACAGTGCACTCGGCAGGCGGTTCCCCTCTTCTCGGTGAGCTCTTGGTTTTACATAGATGCTATTTTCATTACTCTGTTAGCTTATGTTTTTTCTTTCTTTAACTATGTTTTTATTGATTTCAGAGAGGAAGGGAGAGGGAGAGAGAGAGATAGAAACATCAGTGATGACCCCACACTGGGGATCCAGCCCACAACCCCAGGCATGTGCCCTGACCTGGAATCCAAATGTGTCCTCCTGGTTCCTAGGTCGATGCTCAGCCACTGAGCCACGGTGGCCGGGTAGCTTATATTTCTATAGATATTCACTTGAGCATTCTCTTCAAACCTTTGTGTAAAAGTAGTAACATAGTGGAATCAATATTTAGTTTATGGGGGCTTGAGTAGGGTTGGTGAGAGACCAAAGCAGCAAGAAGTTTCTTTAAAGTCTTTCTAAGAGGCTTTTTTAAAGTCTTGAGAATTTTGCATCATAAATTATAATTTGGCTGAGTTTCTAAAATGCTTGCTTTAGTAATTTAACCTTTTTTCTTAAATTTTCTAACAGATTGTTGTTTTAAGTATATATGCTCTTTATCTCTGACTTTGTGCTATTTCTAGCCATCAGTGTTCCGGCATGTGCATACCATAGTTTTAAAAAAAGTTTAAAGGATCTATCCTTTGTGAAAATGTACAATCTGAAATTCAACACTGGAATCTTCCCCAAAATTTGGAACAGTTAAAAGATATGTAGATGTTGCCCTGCCCGAGTGGCTCAGTTGGTTGGAGTGTCATTCTGTGTACCAAAAGATTGCTGGTTAGACCCTGGTCAGGGCTCGTACAGGAGGCAACCAATCGATGTTTCTTGCATTCTCTCTCTCTTTCTCTCTGTGTGTCTCTCTCTCTCTCTCTCAAAAAAAAACCCCAATAAAAACGTATCCTCGGGTGAGGATTAAAAAAAAAACAAAGATGTATAGAGGTTGATTTCTGGGGTGCTCCGGTGTCTGCACTGCATTGTATTTGTAGCCACAGTGCTTGATGCTGTAGTGCTCAGTGAGCATTTGGGGAATGACATTCTACTGTTATATTTGAGAGAATGTGTCTCCCTTTTTTGACAACTCAGTGTTTTTTGTTTGTTTTTTTTACAGAAAAACGTGCATTCCACAAGGTTTGTGACTTACTTCTGTGAGCAGGTTCTACCTAACCTCAGCTCCTTAACTACTCCAGTGGAGGGTCTTGATATACAGTTGGAGGTAAGAGAAGATTTCTCCTTCTGGTACTGAAAAGCCATTCTCATATTTTAATAAAAATATAAACCACTAACTTAAATCCGATTTCTAAGACAATAGAGGTCTGGTGATGGCTAGCAAGAATCTGTCCTAGGATGAATTACATAGGAATGATTTATGAGTTCAATTAAAGGTTGTTGCAATGGGAAAGCACTGCTTATAGTGTTCATTGTAGTCAGTCTCTACCTTTGTAGTCTTAATACTTTTAAATAAGGTATTTAACTAATGATAGTTCCCATCTCTGTCCTCAACTGATAGAGCTGGATTAACACAAAATATCCTTTATCCTTTCTCCAATAGAATTGATTACTCCATCTCTCTCCTTTGTATCTCAGCTCTAATGTTTATATACATTTTTTTTCACAGCATGTGTAATACTTTACATTTACTTATCTCCCCACATTTAACCATATTCATCTTCGTATCCCCAGAATCTAGTGCAGAGCCTGATTCTGAAAGTCACTTGATGATTGTTGAATCAAACTGAAATATGAAAATGTACTTCCCTCATAGGTCTTTGGGGTAAAGAAGACTCATTGTACACTGTAGTTTGCTTCAAATGTTCTGGGTTTGGCTTATCAGGCTGGATTGAATAAAGCAAAGATGAATTTCAAGAATAGTGGCAAATACGAGAGACTAAATTTTAATAGCAAATGAGGCCCTCTCGAAGTGTTAGTAAATAATTATGTGCTGCTAACTCCTAGCCGAGTGGTTCCCAATGTGGGGCACACGCCCCACAGGAGGGCAATTTGATTTTTAAGGGGGGCAATTCGAGATGGTTATTAACAGTGAATTTTTTCCATTTCTTATGGTTCTAGGGGCCTCAAATACAGTATATAAACACATATTTTATTTTCATTTTTACAATTTCAGTTCTCTATTATATGTTTTGAAACTTTATTTGCTATTTTTTTCATATCACTTCGTTTTGTTTTGTTTTTTACAATTTCTTGGGGATTTCTTTCTCAGTACTTCAACTGTCCTTTTGTTATTTTATTTTTTCTCTTTCATGGATGCCATGTTTAGACCAAGTTAATGGCCTTTTAGGCTTCCTCCATGTGAATAGAAGTTCATTTTTTGAATAATAAAGAATTATTTGTCACAGGCGGGCATCCAGATTTTAGAGATACATAGGTGGGGCATGGCCAAAAAAAGTTTGGGAACCACTGCCCTAGCCGATTTGGCTCAGTAGATAGACCAAAGGGTCTGCGGACCAAAGAGTCCTGGGTTTGATTCCAGTCAAGGGCATATTCCTCGATCACAGGCTCCTCCCTGGCCTGGGCCCTGGTCAGGGCTTATGCAGGAGGCAACCAATTGATGTTTCTCTCACATCAATATTTCTCTGTCTTTCTCTCTCTCTTCCACACTCTCTCTAAAAATCAATGGAAAAATATCCTCAGGTGAAGATTTTTAAAAAAAATGTTATTTGCTGTTAAGAGTACTTCCGCAGTTTTTCTACAAATTGTCAAGTTAGTTAATGTATTTGTCACTTTTGCATTGTATTTAGCACTATCATTATTAACCTGTAGCAGAAAATATCATGTATATTCTTTTCCTTATTATATTTGATTGTTGAAAATTCTGAGAGCTGGGTGTTAGGGTCTTGCCCTGCAACTGACACATATTATTATATTTGATTGTTGAAAATTCTGAGAGCTGGGTGTTAGGGTCTTGCCCTGCAACTGACATATATTATTATTTGACCTTTAGTTTCCTCAACAGTAAAATATAGGGCTACATCTCTAAACGATTTTTTTTCAGGTCAAACATTCTGATTACATAAAAGTACAACTGAAAATTAAGCAGTCTTAAGTAGTTATCTAGAATCATTCTTATTTTACAGTTCTTGCTTATTCAAGAAAATATTGCTGCCGAAACCGGTTTGGCTCAGTGGATAGAGCGTCGGCCTGTGGACTGAAAGGTCCCAGGTTCGATTCCGGTCAAGGGCATGTACCTGGGTTGCGGGCACATCCCCAGTAGGAGATGTGCAGGAGGCAGCTGGTCGATGTTTCTCTCTCATCGATGTTTCTAACTCTCTATCTCTCTCCCTTCCTCTCTGTAAAAAATCAATAAAATATATTTTAAAAAAAAAAAAAAAAAAAAAGAAAATATTGCTAATAACAGTGAATTGTGTATTTTAGGTATTGAAACTGTTGGCGGAGATGAGTTCATTTTGTGGTGACATGGAAAAGCTAGAAACAAATTTAAGGAAATTGTTTGATAAGCTATTGGTAAGAACCCACCTCCCCCATGGAAATTATATAGCCCCTGAGTATAGTAGTGTAGTATTAATTTCTAGATTATGGAGAGCCAGATTTTGAAGTTACAGTATTAGACAATATTAGCAAGTGCTGTTAGCTGCTCAGGCCACATGTTTTCTACTTTTTTAAAAAAATCTATTTTTAATCTTTGCTGTTAAGAGTACTTCATATGTGAACCTCATATTAAAATCTATTTTTAATCTTTGGCATTTTTTCTGTTGTTGATGCTTTGTATGAAGTATAATACAGGATTTATATAGTAGGGTGTTCTGCTAGTCCTCTATCAAAATATTTTTTACATCAGTTGCATTTCACCAGGTTGCTGCCCAAGGCCTGGTAGGTTTAGCAACTAGGAAATAAAGTCATTTAAGTCATAATTGTAGAGAAAATAGGCTGTCTGATAAAATCATCAGAGTCACCAAATTATTTTGTTGGGTGTGAGCAGTTATGACGCAGTGATAAGCATTAGGTCCATAGTGTGAATGGAGTCATCCAGTATCTGTAATACCTACTAGGGTGCCTTTGGTGGTACTTTTTGAATGAAAAAAGAGTCAATACTTAGAGAATATGGACTAATATTCAAAGAAGATTTTTGGAATTAGCCTAATGTAGTAGGTTAAGATCACCGACTGATGAGGTTAACCTAGGTTGACTAACTTTTTCACCATAGGAAAGATACTACGCTTTCAGAATTCCACCTACATTGAGTGCCTAATGAATGTTAGCTACTTTCATTGTCATTGTTAGTAGTAGTAGCAGCTATAACATAGGTTAATATGGAGAATTGACAGTGTAGATCATTGATCCAAAAGGTCTAAAAGACATATCTTACTTAAATTTCTGATCTTGGTATGTTTTAATGCTTCATGCCTTACCATAAAAGCATGCCCTACAATTATATGCTTATAATTATTTAGAACAGATTGCAATATATCTGTATCTTCATCTCTTAGGAGTACATGCCTCTCCCTCCAGAAGAAGCAGAAAATGGGGAGAATGCTGGTAATGAAGAACCTAAGCTGCAATTCAGTTATGTGGAATGTTTGTTGTACAGCTTCCACCAGTTGGGTCGAAAACTTCCAGATTTCTTAACAGCCAAACTGAATGCAGAAAAGCTCAAAGATTTTAAAATTAGGTGATGTATGATTGAAGTAGTCTAATCCTTGGCAAAGACGATGGTTATCTGATGCTCCCTGGGTTTTATTTTCATTTTTACAAGAGCTGTCTTCCCACCCTGCCTTATTCCAATGGAACAAAATAGAAGAGCCACAAAACAGAAATGGGTGCAAACATATAACACCTGTCATATATGGGAGAGAAAGAACTTTTCCAAAAAATGGACTCTGGCTCTCCCCACTTGCTTTATGATTTGGGCAAGTTCTAACACCCCAAATTAACAAATTTACATCTTAAATTTTGAAATGCTTAGCTTCTGTATCATCTGTTACTGTCCTCTACTCTTTGGTAAAGCAGAGGTTTAATATGAAACATTTGATCAGAGGCAGGCAACTTAAGTTACTCTAGCTGGTTAGTGTGGTTTTGCCAGCTTCCAACATGGTGTACTGTGTTGGGCCAAAAACTGCAGGTGATGGTGCAGCCCATCAACCTCATCTTCAGATATTTTCAGACTAGATCTCAGATTCAGGTGTGACTTCATGAGCAAGATTATATGCGGATAGAGTGCTACCATTGGTTATGATGCATATGTGAACCTCATATTAGATGATACAGAAGATACTCATTCTAAAACAAAGTCAGGAAAACAACTGGGCTGGATCATGTTAAAAGGAGTTAATATTACTCTGCTCCGAAGAGTCTCCAACTAGAAATGACTAGTTGAAGTCAGAAATTTTGAGAAGGCAATACAGTTTGTATTTTTTAGGTGTCGTTTGTCTAAGTTGAAGTAGAAAAATAAAGTTGAAGTGATAATTTGCTAATTAACAAATACTTTTTCCTTTAGGCTGCAGTACTTTGCACGGGGCCTGCAGGTTTATATCAGACAACTTCGCTTGGCTCTCCAGGGTAAAACAGGCGAGGCCTTAAAAACAGACGAGGTAGGAATACTGAGTCACATCTCAAAAGAAATTTTTATAATAGCCACCATTTATTACCAATTCAGACTGTATTCATACATTGAAATGTAACATGCGACTTTATTTGAAATGGTGCTATAAGTCTGTGTTGTGATACATGATGTTAGAAGATTGTCTACATATTTACTAAGTTATATTTTAGTTATTTGCTAAGTTATATTTTTGTCATCATTGCAATATCTTGAATGTTTCCAATGTTTGTGGAAAATGTTACCAAACTTAGATACATACCAATCTTTCCCTAGGATCTCATTAGCAGTACATACTAGTATTGTTTAAATATTAATGGTTGTCATATTTTTAATTTCATCTTTTTGAAACCCAAATACTAAATTGCTAATTTTATACCAAACTTTGTTTGTGTTGGGATATTTGGTTCCCTGGTTTCATCTATTTTGATCATTCTGCATTCCAATCCTAGTGAAATATTTTAAGTTTTCATCATGTCTATCTTTAACTTAAACTGATTATACTTTTAAATATATTTTTATTGATTTCACAGAAAAAGGGAAAGGGAGAGAGAGATAGAAAAATCAATGATGAAAATCATTGATCGGATGCATCTTGTACATCTCCCACTGGGGATCAAGCCCTCAACCTGGGCATGTGCCCTGACCAGGAGTGGATATGTGATCTCCTGGTTCACAGGTCGATGCTAAACCATTAAGCCTCACCTGCCAGGCTAAACTAATGTGTGTTTTTTAAACTGATTATTTTTTAAATAATTCCTATGTGCATATGACCTGTCCCTTACTCATTTTTTCAGGTAGATTGTAGATAACACTTTAATGTTCTAACCTGTCAAGATTATTTACTTTCTTTGCCATCTCTGCACTGGTTTATAGTCAAAACAAAACAAAACAAAAAAAAAAAAAACAAACCAGGAATAATGATTCTGAAAGAGTAGTGTAATAGAATATGCATTGTAAAAGTTATTGGCATTCTATTTTTTTTCTTTTTGCAGAACAAGATTAAAGTTGTTGCATTGAAAATAACAAATAACATCAATGTTTTAATCAAGGTAATAAGTATTCCTTTCTTACCCAGTCCTCCCAAGCTTGCTAGAAAAGTAGTGTTTTACTTCTGAACTACTTAAAAATATGCAAGAGAAATACTTATTTGTTATTGATATTTTATCCTGAAACTTGAAATCACATTTAGAAGAAACTTAGCTTCACTTTCTTAAGTGTTGTGCAAAACAAGGGATTAATAATAGGTGTACCTTTTTTAAAAAGAATTATTTTTAATATATACTTTTCTTATTGACTTCAGAGAAGAAGGGAGAGGGAGAGAGAGAGAAACATCAGTGATGAGAGAGTCATTGATTGGCTGTCTCCTGCATGCCCCACACCTGGGATCGAGCCCACAACCCTGGGCATGTGCCCTGACCTGGAATCCAAATGTGACCTCCTGGTTCATAGGTCGACACTCAACCACTGAGCAACACCAGCAGGGTAGTAATAGGTGTAACTTTTAACAAAATTGTCCTTGTTTAGTTTTTTTCTTGCAGCATTTTTTAGGACCTTAATCACCGGCACAAGAGCAAGAAAGATAAAGCTTCCTTTCCTAAAATTAATCTTTAAGATGTCTCCCTGTTTCTTACCTTCACCACCCAACCACTCCACTCACCATCAAATATATAGAAATCTTGTCTAATTTTGTCTCTTCAGGATCTCTTCCACATTCCTCCCTCTTATAAGAGCACGGTAACATTATCCTGGAAACCTGTACAGAAGGTTGAAATTGGGTAAGAATTATATTTAAAAAGAATTTAAGTGTTATGATTTACAAATATGAAAATCTGAATTCAGATGTTATATTTACTGTACAAAGTGGTACGTTATTAAGTGGTTCTTAATAAGATGTTAAAATATGACTATTAGAAGTATGACTTAAAATATAAAATCTAATTCCAATACTTATAAAATACACTGAAGGAATACAGCCCTAGGTTTTTCAGCCTATTTGTATTCATGTAACATAACTAGACTTTCTGACAAGTTTTACAAAATGGTTCACTTGCATATAGTCTTTGAAGTTACGTATTCTAGATTATTTTAAAGCCTTATAAATCTTTTTCGATAATGTCTGCATAACTAAGACACAGTTAATTTGATGACATCAGAATGTTATTCTTTTTTTCTGGTATGATTATCATCTTTACAGTGCCTATGCTAAATTATAAGTCCCTCTGATTTAATGCAATTTTTTTTATTGTGGTTCTTTTTACGGTTATAGGCAAAAGAGGGCCACTGAAGATACAACTTCTGGTTCACCACCCAAGAAATCTCCAGCAGGACCAAAAAGAGATGCAAGGCAGATTTATAATCCTCCTAGTGGGAAATATAGCAGCAATTTGGGCAACTTTAATTATGGTGAGCGTTTCCGTTTGGGTATAAGCAGTATGCGAGATTAGACAGAGATTGTGTTGTACTTGATTTTCATTATCAGTTATATATACTATTATAGCTGTTTTGTGTGATTTTTCTGAGTTAGCTTAGGGAATTAGAGCTATTGGGGAAACAGTTGATCCCGTTCCTTTTTGAAACACTCTTGTGGGCTCATTGAACTGAGCATGTAGCACTAAGCACTTAAAAGAGAAAAATATGCCTCTTGTATTCAGAGGAGCCAAAAGAAAAAAAAAGAAAGGAAATTGGCATGAACCATCCATTCCTGGTATTCCCTGTTCTAGCTTCAAGGCAAGACAATCTGTGCATTCTCCCTCAGGGATAGAACTATAGCTTCTGGCAAATGTGGTGTTAGTGATCCTCCCTGGTCCTTGTCAGCCTACTGCTTGTCCTCCCATCTTCTGAACTGTTTCAAAAGGAGAGGTCATAGAAATGGAGTCAGATGTTAAAGTGTCATCTGGCAAAGAAGATGTGATACATTGTGGTCTCCCTCCCGCCCAGAGTGCAGTCCTCTTGTCAGTTTCAGCTGTTAGTGCCAGAAAGGTTTCCCACTAATCTATTCTCTCCCAGGGCTATCAAATGAGAAGTGAGGTTTGTTTCTCATTGACTTAAACCCTCATAGTTCCTTTCAACAAAGAATAGACGAAAATATCATTGACTCCACAAATCTTGTTTTAAGATATCTATATATAAAAAAACCTAATGTGCTAAGTGTCCGACCAATCAGTCGACCGCTTGACCAGTCACTATAACACACACTGACCACCAGGGGGAGACGCTGCAACTGGTAGGTTATCTTGCTGCCAGGGTCGAGCAGATTGGGAATGGGCGAGACAGGCTGGACACGCCCTGGAGCCAACCTTCCTCGGTCCCTTCCCGGCCTCTAAAATATTTCTTCTAATTAATTTCCTTTCAGTGTGCATGAATTCGTGCAATGGGCCTCTAGTTTAATAATACTAGCACTCAAACATACTTGTTATTGGCCTTGATTACCAGAATTACAATCAAAGTAATTCTGCAGTACAAGTTTCCCCCACTATCCATAAGTAGAGCATTCCTATAAACCTTTCATAAGCCAAAATGGTGTGAAATGGAAGCAGTTATGTTAAATTTATGTAGAAAAATTTTAGAGCCTTCCAAGACCCAAAAAATAACCTACCAAATTACACATCCTATATAATAAAAGCCTAATATGCAAATTGTCCCCTCAACTGGGAGTTTGATCAGGGGGTGGGGCCAGCAGCAGCAGGCGGCCAAGGGAAGGGAGGCTTCCCCACCCCCCAGTTCACCCCCTGTGGGCAGCTGCTAGGGACCCTACCTGTGCACGAATTTCATGCACTGGGTCTCTAGTAAAAACATAAAATAATACATATAGTCAAAGCAGGAATGATGATAAATACACACCATGTTTACATGCATCAGTCCCACTCAAGCAGTATATTTTCTGTTACTGGATGCCAAGTAAAAGATCACTTTGATACTAGCAGAACCTATGGTAACCAGCAGCTTTCAACATTCTCTGTGTAAGTAGTACAAATGGTAGACATAGGCTGATTCAATACACAGCATCTTTATTTCATTCACCACAATTGAAACGCTTAATTACATCCAGTTTTAAAATAAGCGTAACATCTTCACAAACTCTCGGGCTTTTCTGATATTTTAGAACACATCTTACTTGGGTATGCATAAAATCAAGATAGAGCACAGGTGCTCACAGATACTGTTCAAAGCTATGGCAGCTTGATACTGAGATGAATGAGTGTAGTTCCTGGGAAAGGAACTTGGTGGAGCCACTCACTGTTCGCTGCATGCTACCTTGATAATGGCTTACTGCAGAACAAACACTGAATACTATTTTTGCTTTTTTTGCCTTTTTTCTTTGAGGCAACTTTAGTGTGGGAAAGATCACTGAATTCTTTTACTTATGTAATAATATGAAAATGTGCATCTCAGCCTCTTTTCTTACCTGAAAAATAGGTGTAACAACGAGATCTTAAAAACTTCAAATAAGAATATTTGTGAAAGCATTTTGTAAATGGAAAGGATTTTGTGTTACTTTAGGCATATTTAGACTTTTGTCCAAATATTGTCCTCTGTCACTTTTACGAGTTAATATGATGTCTTAAAATTAACCATTTTTAAAATCAACTATTAGATCAGATTCTATCATTTGATTTAATGAACATAATCAAGAACTATGGCAATACGTAGAGAATTGTATTACTTCACTTGGGCAGGTCAGTTACTCTTGAGTTTCCATGAGGATTCTGCCCTGTGCCTGATAGTGAGAATCATGATAATAATGCATTTGAAAAATGCAAACCCTTAGATTGTATGTGATATTTTTTAAACTATCAACGTGAAAAACATTTTTTTACCCAAGACAAAAATCCAGGAGTCACTTACAACTTCAATTCTGTAGTCATCAAAGTAACAAAGGGTAAACAAGCATGCCCAATGATTGTCTTTTGTGTCAGGTATTACAATACTTTACAATACTTGAATATTTCTATAGGGCGCAACTTGTAATTGGGGGTTTATCGTAAATTGAATTACAAAGCTAACTCAACTCTGATTCTTAATAAAAAATAGGAGTAAATTTTCTTCTAGTTTTTATATTTGGGAGCTGCTTATCTGCTTATGCATATTCTTGTAGTACTACAGATTAGAATTGGTGGACCTATCTCAGAATTTTTACACCTTTTTTATGCCTGTCTTTGGGGAAATGAAAGCATATCAGGAAGGTGTTTCGCATATCAGAAGCATGTTGCATTTCTTTTTTTCTGGGATGTTATTGTTGCCTCAAAATTGGAGGGGAAAAATGTTTGTGGTCTTTTTAAGACGAGATTTTGTTTATATTTTTTAAATTTTCTTATAATGGGATTAAATGGTTTACTTTAAAAAAACAGGACATTTTGCAATATGTCCCAGTCGCAATACGTACTTGCTAATAAAATGTTTCATTGTAATGAATTTAAAATTGTACAAAACATGTTAATAAATGCTATCCGCTTATCCCTCAAAAAGAAAAATGTTACCCACGTTTGGCAAAATCATCATAATTCTACTTTTCCATGTCAGCCAAGCTCGTGCTTTGTTTTATTTTTTCCAGGAAGACTGAATGGTTGTTGATGTTTTTTAAGTCATATACACTGAAGGGTTAGGAAATTTATTCCTTTTGTGTTATTAGGGAAACAGGTAGTGTTAATATTACCACCCACTGTTCAGAACAGGTCTATTGTACCAGTGCCATGGGCCTAAACTTGTTCACCATAAAGGAGGAGCCATAATTTGTGATTGTTCTTTGAGTCCATGCAGATATATTTAGACTTTGTTTCCTTATCCAAGTTTATTATTTTACTAGCCCATGTCTCATTTATTTATTTTATAAACATAGTACTGGTTCCCACAACTGAGTTCAGCTTCCCGGTGCATTTTCAATTAAATCACTTACAAACATATCAATGTTTAGTTTTCTTTCCTATGAATAAAGTTCCCCAGTAACCTGGGAGTAGTAAACATTCTATATTTTGTGACTTGTGTCCTTTACCTTTTACCTTTTTAAAATATAAAAATAATTTTTATAGCATAATTTTAACTGGGTGGAGTGGTGTTTTAACTTAGTAATATAAGCTTGAAACCACTAGAAAAAAAAACACAAGTGCAGAATGGTCTCTCAGGATGAAGCCCTTTGAAAAGAAAATTTGGTGACTCTGTACTGTAATAACAGCTGTATCAGTTGCAGATCAAAAAGAAATAGCCAGTATAGAAAAGATAACATGCCCTAACCAGTTTGGCTCAGTGGATAGAGCGTCGGCCTGTGGACTCAAGGGTCCCAGGTTTGATATCCGTCAAGGGCATGTACCTTGGTTGCGGGCACATCCCCAGTAGGGAATGTGCAGGAGGCAGCTGATTGATGTTTCTCTCTCATCGATGTTTCTAACTCCCTATCCCTCTCCCTTCCTCTCTGTAAAAAATCAATAAAATATATATTAAAAAAAAAAAAGATAACAGGATCAAGTAATACCATCATACAGCATATTTAATATATTCATTAGAAATAGCTGAACAATTTAGGGGAATCCAGTTCCTCATATTGAAATTGATTGAAAAACAATTGAAAGGGTGGATTTTAGTAGTCTGTTATTAGCTTATAGCTAATAATAATGATATCAATGAAAGTGTTTAGTAAGTGTGTTGATGTTAAATTTACTGAGAAATTAAGGTTTTATAATGAGTATGGTGGGGGGGAATGTGCAGACATGCAATAGATGAGGCCAAGTCTTAGTCAAAAATGCAGAGTTATAGCTACATAAAGGTTGCATCACTACCTGAATGCACCCATGGTCACTGCATTCTTTCCCTCAGAACATTTAGTAATATTCTGAATGTGTGAATCAGATCCCATTCTATTAAACAGATAAATATTGGCTAAGCTGGGGAAAGATCTAGTTAGTTATCTCACGAGTTTCTGGAGGCAAAATATATATATATCAAAACATCACCCAGCCCTGACCGGTTTGGCTCAGTGGATAGAGCGTCGCCCTGCGGGCTGAACGGTTCCAGGTTTGATTCCGGCCAAGGGCATGTACCTTGGTTGCAGGCACATCCCCAGTCGGGGGTATGCAAGAGGCAGCTGATCGATGTTTCTCTCTCATCGATGTTTCTAACTCTATCCCCTTCACTTCCTCTCTGTGAAAAATCAATAAAATATTTTTTTTAAAAAAATCACCCAAATAAGGTAATTATATTTCTAGCCATAATGGTAAAAAAAATGGGTTGCAGTGCCGACTTAATAGGAATTTTTCAAGTATCCAACATTATGGATCCAAAAATAGCAACACAGTTTCTTTTTCGTGCTCCTAATAATATGCCTGCCGCAATGAGGAAGTTTGAAAGTTCAATGAAGAGATTTGATCTCTGGAATTAGAAATTTGAGACTCTTAATTTATGTATGATGAAAGTCCAGGCTTGCTGATAACTTCAATCAATTTTCTTTCCTGGAAAGACTCCTCAGGAATATGTCTCTGGAGCTATAAAAGAGACTGCCTAATGAGTCAACATCTTACTCTACCATATGACACATGTGACTTGATTTTTCAGCAAAAGATGTGCTTAATTTATAATCAGTAACCCAAATACCGTATGTATACACATCATTACTTTTTGGCAGCATCTCTGAGCAGCAGCTCATATAGCTGAATAAGCAGGGAGAAAAGCTGTCAGCATTTATATTTATACTAGAGGCCCGGTGCACGAATTCGTGCGTGGGTGGGGTCCTTCTGGGTGGCCTGTAGGGATCAGGCCGAAACCCACAGTCCAATACTGCCTGCAGCTCCTACCTGCCACTCCCACTCATCCTGGCCCTACTGTGCCTGCCGCAGGCTCGTGCCCAATCAGTCCCAATCAGGAGAGGCTGGCACTGCTACAGCAGCGCTCACCAGCCATGAGCCCTGCATCTGGCACCCTCCCAAGGGGAGTGGCCTGTGGGTTCGGGCCAGGGAGGGACAGTGGGAGGGCTCCAGTGAGTGTCCAGCCCATCTTGCTCAGACCCCAGCAGCAAGCTAATCTACCGGTCGGAGCATCTGCCCCCTGGTAGTCAGTGCACTTCATAGTGATCTGTTGAGCAACCTTAGCATATCATTAGCATATTATGCTTTGATTGGTTTCATTGTTCTGCAGTTTGGTCTATTCGCATATTACCCTTTTATTATATAGAACTAGAGACCTGGTGCACAAAAATTTGTGCACTGGCAGGGGCCGGGGGGTGTCCCTCAGCCCGACCTGTGCCCTCTCACAATCTGGGACTCCTCGGGAGATAACCACCTGCTGGTTTAGGCCCACTCCCCAGGTGGCAGATGGCAGGCCCGATCCCGCGGTGCCTGCCCCACCTCCCTGGGTCGCAAATGGCAGGCCCAGATCCTGCACTGGATCGAAGATGGCAGGCCTGGATCCCACCCTGGGTCGCAGATGGCAGGCCTGGGTGGCGGATTGTGCTGCTGCCCGCCCTGCCTGCAGTATGCAAATTTAACAGCCATCTTTGTTGGGTTAATTTGCATACTCTTCTGATTGGCTGATGGGCATAGCGAAGGTATGGTCAATTAGCATCTTTGTCTTTTATTAGTGTAGATTCTTGAGTTTTGGTGCTTGAAATATGATGACCCAATGCAAATTGTCTATTCATTGCATTTGAAAGGAAAATTGTGTCAGTCTAGCCTAATATTTTTAAGTATAGAAATTTTTATAGTTTCATTAATTATCTGTGATAGGCATCATAATATTGTGACCTTGAAACATCTTTGTTACTAGGATACATTTAATTGAGTACCAACTATGACTATATTTTGCACCTTGTTATATGTTCTTTGATATACATGTTGTCCTGGTTTTATGTACAGAATGAATCTATGGATGATGTAGCAGAATACTAATGCTGCTTTTATAGCGCCTACTGCTTCCTTCAGAGCACTGAGCTACATTTGCTGTACCATGAAGTCCTGAGCAAGACCTAAACCCTTGTTCGCTTTTTCGTAGAGCAGAGAGGAGCCTTCAGGGGAAGTAGAGGTGGCCGAGGTTGGGGAGCACGAGGAAATCGAAGTCGGGGAAGACTCTACTGAATAAGACATCTCATTCTTCAGCATCGTCATGAGCTTAACACTTAAATTCTACTACTCATTGGATTGCCGGGGATGTCCCTTAAAAGGACTGCTGCCTTCAGCTAAAAACTTATTGTTCTTTATACCTTTGTATGTATGATCTACTTTTGTAACAGACCATGGTTGTGTCCAAGGTAAAACCACAGCGATATTTTTGGATGCTTTGTGCGCAATCTTGTTTTTGCAATATCATCATTATTCAGACTTCATATTGTGAATCTTTTAAACATCTTAATAATTTGTTGAGAGCTATTCAAATCTAAAATATAATGAAATTCTATTTCTGATAACTGGTAAAGATGATCAGTTTTGAAAGCTTACTGATTTTCTTCTCCCCTCTGTCCTTTTCCCCCAATATATAGAGAAGAGTAATGGTCAATTTTAACATTTGGTTTTCATTGGGTTTTTTAAATAAAGCTGCTAGGCAATGGTTCAGCATTCCCACCTAGTGTACTAAGAGCAAAATACTTAAATGTAGAAATATTACATTTTTAGGAGAATGTAAGCTGCTTTGCACTGCTTACTTAACTCTTCTCCATATGTTGTGATAAGCTTTTGAATATGGGATCTTACTCTTTGAATAGAAATGTGTATGTATAATATACATACATACATAAGATATATATGTGTGTGTGTGTATATATATATATGCATGCTGACTACACAACATAAATCATTTTTTAAAATTCCAGGAACAGGTAATCTTTGACATGGTGATTACCCTTTTGAGGCTGAATCCATTATTAACTTGTTATCTAGGTTTTCTTCCCAGTAGTGAGGGATTTTGAGTCCGTTGCACTTACATGATTATTGTTATTTAAAACTGAAAATAAACAAAGGCTGCATTTTCAAAGATGAGTTTGGCAATCCCTTTTGGAGAAATACAGCCAAAATACTGAATCTGATGTACATATAGGTTTCTACAGGATGACACAGAATAATTTAGAATTTGGGAATTGAATAACCAGGGCAATCCAGGAAAAGTGACTTGATAACATGTTCTACCAATAATAAGGGATTCTCTCTGTTTGCTTTTGCCACTTTGAAGATTTAACTTCTCAGGTTATTAATCAAAATTATTGTATAAGTTAGCCAATAGAATATTTAGGTTAAAAAACAGATGGGGGGTTTGTGGAGTGTTTAATGTCATGGGCATTTTTAGTAGCATAGGTCCTTAGCTCTGCATTTGAATGTTTCATATATTTTTGTTTCACAGTTAATATTCCCTCCCCAAGTTTGCTACTCAAATCCAGTGTCTGAGTAACATTTTCTAGTAGTTTGGCATATTTTTTGAGGAATAGTTAGTAATTCCAATGGCAGTGTCTTCAATACTGTTAACCCTTACATTGGGGAAAAAACAAAACCCCTTTGTTAGAAATACTGCACATGTTTATGGGATAAATATTTTTTGAAGACTAAAATTATACAAGTGAGCATAAGAAATGGGTCAGCTTGATTATGGAGTGGTGGCAATAATCTAAACATTCCAAAAGACAATGAGCTGAACCTGAGCTCCCTTGGAATCTGAACAGACATAGGAATATGGAATTGCTATTTGAAAACTGTGACCCGGTGGCCGAAAGCCATTTCAAGTATAGGAACTGTATTAGGACTACAGTTATATAAATTTGAACTTTAGGAGTAACTTTTCCTCTTTTTCTTTTTTAAAGAGTATTTGTAAAGTCAAAGCTGAGCAGAATTGACTCTACTTTAAGTTTGATATTGAGTTGACTGTGTTCTTCCTTTGCCACCTCATTGTTCCCCTTCCCTTTCCTAAGGCAATAATGCACAACTTCGGTTACTTTTGCTTCAAAAATTTGAATGAAAAACTTCATGTCACGATTGTTTTTCTTTTGCAAGACATCTGTTTATCACATTGTTCAAAAGTAAGTGTTTCCTTATGCTTTTGGAATAAATTTCCTTTTGTAATTTTGTTTTGTGTCTTGATGTGTTATGATTATGATAACTTCAGATTCTTGGATATTCATTAAACATTTATTGATTGCTTTTCATGCGCCAAGCAGTGTATCTTACCATGAAAATACAAAGATAGACAAGCTACTGCTCTGCCTTCAAGGTCAGTCTTGCAAGTTATCTTTAATTTTCATTCTTTTGGATTTATTTTTAGAAGCTAACTCACTCTTCTGAAAAAAGGGATTTGGCTCTAATCAAAGCAAAACATCAGATACTTGCCAAATCATGAAATATTTCCATCCTCAAGTTAATATGCAAAAACAAGTTGGAACTTCTTAATATGACTACCAGCCTTGATTTGAAAAAAAAAAAAGAAAGAAAAAGTCTTCCTGAAGTAGTATCAAAGGTTAGAAATGTTCTAAAGCCAAAAGTTGAAATGGACCAGGACAAGATAAGTTCCCTTGGTGGTCACATTCTGTGGCTTTAAAACCACCTCTATGATATGTACTACTATTTGTAATACTTTAAACAAGAAAATAAAATTTAAAAAAAAAACACCTATATGCTGTGGACTGCCAAATTTGTGTCCATCATTTCTTGTTTAAGAGTTTCACAATAACCTGATTGTTCTTCCTGCTAGTACACGACTCTAGCCTGTTCTAAACACAGCAGCAAAGAGACATGTACTCTTTTACTTTAAGCTGTTCAATGGCTCCTCATTTCAGAATAAAAATCAAAAGCATTGCTGTGGCTTTAATTTCTGACCTCAGCTGCTGCTCTTCCCCTCCATCACACTGCTCAAGTCAGCTGGCTTCATGCAGGCTAGGTAGACACATTCCTGCTTTAGAATCTCTGCACTAGCTGTTTGCTCTAGCCACTCTCCCTTAGGTCTGCTTGCCTACTCCATTTCCTCCAAATCCTCAAACATCACTTCAAGGAATCATTTCATACTGCAATGCCCCTTTCTATCCTGCCAAGACTCCAGATCCCACTTACCCTACCATATGGTTTCTGGAGCACATAATTTGCTTCTATGTTGTGTACTCTGTCTCCCCCTGAGAAGACTATAATGTGGCTAAAATGCCACAGAGTAAGGATTTTTGCATGTTGCTCAAGCCTCTAAAAACAGTGCTTGGTACAGTAAGCTTTCAATAAATCAAAGGTAGTGTTTTAGGCTCTGGATAAAGTGGTGAACAAGTCAAGCAAACTCATGGAGTTTATTATGCAGAGCCTGATACGAGTGTTACAAGGGCACTGAAGCATTCTATGGGATAGTGTGTGAGAGCTAGCATAGAAAGAATGGTTAGAAAAAGCCGCTGAAGAATTCGTTTGAACAGACACCTGGATGGTTATTTGGAACCAATCTACTAGTAAAGATTTCAAGAAAAAGCATTTGAGATGGAGGTAGCAAAACCTACAGAACACCTGGCTTTAAGAATGCCAGACTGCTAGAGGGCTGCCTCAAAGCTTGTAGGCTCCTCATCTCGACCCCAGAACTCCTAAATTCCTCATCTACTATGTCTTCATCCGGCTATTTGGTTGATCCTTCGGGTTAGGCTAGACTTAACCATTGGCCTGTGTGCTCCCTCAGCTCACTATCCTTCCCCCATTTTAGAAACTACAGGGGGAACCCAAATTAGTTCTGGATGGGTAGAAAACAGCAAGTGAGATTTAATTTTAGCAAGTGTAATGGAAACATCTAATTTCTCCAAAAAAACCTAAGAAATTGGAGATTTATTCCTAGAAGTTGTATGTTCATTCCCTAAAATTAATGTTACCACAAATAAGAAAATCCAGCAAAAATCTGGTCATCATAGGGTTGATATTAGAAATAAGATCTGAGACAAAGCCTAGGTAAAATACTACATACTGTTCTAGTTTGCATTCAAGAATACACTAAGTAGAAAAGGAACAGAGAGAAATAAATAAGGGAATGGTATTCCTATGAGGACAAACTAAAAATTAGCATGCTATAAATAATGGATAAGATTAAAAAAAAAACCACAAACTCATGAAAGGTTTGAATAGAATGAACATGATTTTAATCATAAAACCGGGATATTTGGGTGTATATAAGGGAGTAAAAACTAGCTGTGGGGGATGATCCTTAGCTAATTACAGAATGAATAATTACAATTACTGCATAAAAACTGTCTTCCCCAACAGCTGCAAAGATTTGGATAAATTAATGGCTGCTAAGTCTGTGTCAGGAAAATTCTTTTGTGGCTGACCATCATGCTATCCTAGAGCAGCCCTGGTGTCCCTGTGGGTTAGAATCCTGTGCTGATTGAACCCTGGCTGTCATCCACAGTAGTCCTCATGCTTCAGACTACCCGATGTATTTGGCAAGCTATTTCTAAATTAAATTATTATTATGTATCCTCTGCCTTCCCTTTGAAGTCCCTCTTCACTTTGCATATAGCTGTTGGGGAGATACACCTGTAGAGCACTTCTTGTCACAACCAGCCTCCCTCCCTACACCCTCTCTCAAACCTGATCAATCCAGAATTGTTCTAAAGAAATTCACTACACAGTAGGCAGCTAATTCCTTCCATTCCTAGTTTCCCCTCGACTCTGGCTGGGCTAGCTTTGTTACTTTGACCAACAGAATGCAGAAGTGACACTTTGCCAGTTCTGGCCTGGCCCTCAAGGAGCCTGGCAGTTCTACTCTCACCGGTTCAGAGCCCTGAGCCACCATGTAAGAAGCCTCTGAAAATACCCTGAGAGAGAGAGGCCCAGCCTCCCTAGCCATTTCAGCCACTCCAGCCAAAGCACTAGACATGTGAGAGGAGCCATTTTGAGACATTCCAGCCTTATGAATGACGCCAGCCAACAGCAGGAAGAGAAGAACCACCTAGCTGAGTCTGGCCACAATCTATGAAAAATAATAAACCATGTTTTAAAACTTAAGCCACTAAGATTTAAATTGACTACGAAGCAAAAGATAATAAATTAACAGAATTAAAACCAGTGCTAACTCTCAGGGATATTTATATCTTAAGTATTTTTGCTAAGGAATAAACAGTACTGAGATTTTTTTTGCAACTTTCAGATAAAATGGCTCAAGGGAAGAAATTAAAAAGCCAGAAAAATCATTTTATTAGTGTCCAACTCCTAGTTTCAAAAATTCTATAATTTATTATGAGAGTAAATAAATCAAAGGACCTATTTGCCAAAATACTTTATGTTGAAAGACCAAATTAAATGCAGTTAGGGCTTTTTCTATCATTTGTTCAACTGGGAATTAAATTACAATTTACAGATCAGAACTTCTGTCAACTACCATCTTATATTTCTATATGCTTTATTTAAGCATCTAAAAGAGGAAGCATAATTAAAGAGGAAAGAGAAATATCCAAGTCTTAGAATAAAATAAGGGTAACAGGTGATCTATCTGGGTGTAGAAAATAAGTAGCAACAATTTTATTTAGGTTAAGATTTTTAAATGTTTTATTCACATAAAAAGGGAAACCTACCTTTTTGGGGGGTGGGGGTGAAAAAACTAAGCAAACTAACCACTTAATTATGGAAGCTTTATGGAAGATAAAAATATATTTATCTTTTTATCTTCCTGTCCTCAGATGCTAATAGCCTTACTAATTGAAAGTAATTAGTAAAAAATTACTCAAGAGTTTAGCTGTTCAAAATGTGCAAAGCAATATCACAAAGTAACATAGCATTAATTGCAATATTATTGTTAGAGAAATCAGAAGTCAAATAGAAGTTGACAGGCTTCTTTACATTCTGGGATTTGAGGTGTACCTTAAATAATAGATTTGAAAAGGGAGAGCGAGGAAAGAATTTCAGGCAGGGAACAGGATGAGTAAAGTCACTTCTAAGTAATACTGTGTGATGCTTAAAACAGTTCAGTAAAAGACTAGAGATCAGAATTTGGCAGTCAGGACCTGTGCAGGCAGAATTCTAGGATGACTCCCCACGATGCTCACCCTCATGTACTCTCCCTTGAATGTGGGAGAACATGTGAATATAATTTCCATGATTTATTGTCATATGACAAAAGGAATTTTTGCAGATGTCCTTAAGGTTACTAATTATGCATGTACAGTGACCAGTATACATTAAACACTCAATAAAAGTTAGATGATGATGACTGCCACTACTTAGCTTTATACACAGGTAAAAGAGTTGACTTCTATGCCTTAAAATAAGATGCTGAGAAGAAAGAGACTCCATCACTTGCCACTTCCCTCTTTCAGAAATTTGGAACATTCCTACTGTCTATATTTAAACTCCTTGGCATGGCATATAAGAAATCCTTACAATCTGTTACCAATTTCACCTTTTCACACTTACTGCTTATTTTGCCTGAATCAGCACCTGGTTAGTTGCTCTCTTTTCTACACCTGTGCCCATTATCCCACATTTCAATTGTTAACCTACCAATATCCCACAAGACTGTAGACTGCTCAGTGGTCATATTTCCATATCCAGTGTCTAGCAGAGTACTAGACAAAAGCAGATGAACCACACATTTTTAATTAACTGAGTGCTCATTACTTCAGTCCTCAAGAAAAGCTGCTCTCGGGAAGAAGAACAACAGAAACACTGTTGTGCGTTGCTTCCATAGCATGAAGTGATGTTTAAACACTTGGCAATTTTTTTTCCTGCGATATACCAGGGTAGAGAACTGGTCAGGCAAAATTCTCCTCCTTTTTTTCAAAGAGAAAACCCAAAGCATAATGAACCTAAATACAAAATGACACACAACGCTAGAAGGCAGCCCTGAAATACCTGAAACAACCTTATCTAAAAAGAAGCTGGGGGCCAGGCTAGTTGCTTGGACGGCCTGTTGGTGCACTAGTGGGAAGTGCATCTCCACCTTGAAAGTACCTCCCAGCCACCTGGGACTTGAGAAGGACGCATCCGACAGGGACGGGAAGAAAAGCCATGATGTGCTTTTCTAATGAGCTCCCGCCTGATGCCAACACTGCAGGTCTCCGGGCCGAGACCTGCCACCCAGGTCCACGCTGCCCAGTAACACAGCCACTAGCCACCGCCCCTGAAAGCCGGATCGTTCCAATTTAGATGAGCTGTAAATGTAACATGCATACCGATTTCCAAGACTTAGTGCTTTAAAAAAATCTAATCTGTACTAATTTCATATCGAACTTACAATATTTTGTACATACTGGGTTAAAGAAAATGTCAGTTGTTTCACTCGTTCTTTTAAATTACAGCTGTGGCTCGCAGCTCACATTCTACTACTGGACAGCGATGCCCTAGCCAATGGTTCTCAACCTTCTGGCCCTTTAAATACAGTTCCTCATGTTGTGACCCAACCATAAAATTACTTTCGTTGCTACTTCATAACTGTAATGTTGCTACTGTTATGAATCGTCATGTAAATATCTGATATGCAGGATGGTCTTAGGCGACCCCTGTGAAAGGGTCGTTCGACCGCCAAAGGGGTCGCGACCCACAGGTTGAGAACCGCTGCCCACTGTCCAGGTTAGGGAGCTTCCACCATGTGAGGCCTTTAGAATAAAAGGTAACGCATCGCGCCCGCCCAACCCGCCTGCCCGACCTATGAACCT